GATTTATTTGTTAAAAGTTTGATTTTACGAAACTCCATCTGTACGAATTGGATTTGATTTTTCTGTGATACGCTGTTGATTGGCTGGATTTTCGAAAAAGAACAAGATAGTAATTTGATTCCTTTGTGTATTTTTTGCTGGCGCGTGCCTGCAATTCCACTGTGAAAAGCACCAGAGGGTGGGAACTGCCTGCTTACTTTCACTTATACAATACCTACAGTTGTTTGCTTTGGGGGGAAAAATAGCTAGAAGAGCCTCTTTGGAGCAGCTATTAGAAGATAAAACGACTTCTTTAAGTTTATTCCAATCAATGTTTGATGAATTACAAGTTAAATTCAAGTCCCTTGGAAAAAAGATAAATGAAAGATTGGATAAGATGGTTAATTTTAAAATGGAGGTGGAAATTGATTTGAAGGTGGATTTGGAGTTTAAAAAAATGTTGGTGGTATGAACAAAGATGCTGTAGATTTGAAAATGGATTTAAAAATACCAAAGGATAAGTGTGGTACAGTAAAGGATGCCACAATGGATTTACAAATGAAACCAACTAATGTTACAATGATCAAAGGGGACATACAAACAATGGAAAAGAAGAGTGACTTGGAAAGGCTTTTTATCTTGGATTTGCAAAAGGAATGTGTTTAACTGGTGAGGCTGTCCTGGGAAGAGACAAAGAGAAATTACTCGGCCTGTTTCTGTGAGAAGACAAGGAGACAATGATGGGGAATCAACTTGTGGGACACTATTTGAAAGGATTAAAGATTAAGCTTTTTTAAAAGTAAACAGAAGGTTTACAAAATGAACTTATTTAATTATGGTTAATATATGTTGAGGTTTTGGTAGTTACTAATGGGATTTTTTTTTGTGACTAGGATTGAATGATGAGGTTTTAAGGATCTGTGTATAAAGGGGGAGAGATTTCATTTGCTTTTTTTTTTTGAGAAAATGATAAGTTTAATTATAAAATGGATTTATTTTTGACTAAGGTTAAAATACATTTGTTATTAAATTTATGGAATGTTGTTCTTATATATGATAACAGCAGTAAGGTTTCTATATGTACAAAGGTGGAAGGATGTGATATTACTTACAATGAAAGAATGGATGGTGAAGCTGATGGAGTTGGCTGAGATGGTGAAACTGATGTTTGATTTGAGAAAAAACATTGTATAATTTTAATGTTAATTGGAAACTTTTTTTGGACTTTCTGCGGGAAACAGAAAAAAAATGAAATTATGTTGTATAGATTTGTTAGAAATAATATGGGTTTCTAGTAATAATGAAAGTTATATTGTAAACTTAGAGCAAGAGATTGATGTATACTACTTATATCTGTTGTGAGGAGGGTCAGAAGTCAAATCTTTTTCTGCCTTCGTTTTTTTGCATTTTTGATCTTAGTTATTTTTTTTTAATTTTCCTTTCTTTTTCTTATTTTCTTCCTTTAATATTAGTTTTTGTTAGTTTTTATTGTTTCTATTTTAAAATGTAATAAAGTTATTAAAACAATAACTTGTTTTATATTGTCTTATTCTGCTCTTTTTCTCTTTATATGTTTTTGCTATTATAATGTATTTCAATTAAAAAAAATGTTCTAAACTTTTATAAGCAGTTTTAGGTTCATTTATAAAGAACAGCAGTTTTTCTTTATAAGAGATAAGTAAACATATTTTATTCCATTTTTGTTTTTTCATAAAGATTACCATTTCAATTTATGCAACAAATGATCAGGTGTGGTGCTGACTCCAACTTACTTTTTATACTGGCAGGTGTTTTAAAATATAGGTTGCTACAAGGAATGAATTATCTGAATAACATTTGCACATACCCATGGATCACGAGGGTCTGTTCAGGCACCATATGCCATATGTTAATTCCTCCCACACTATAAGTTAATATAAATTTTGTATATCTGTAAAAAGAAAAGGAGCTCTAAACCCACTTTCAAAAGATTTTTTAAAGCTGCTGTGATAAACAAATCTAATTTATACAATGAATTATCATATTCAAACTAGCGTGAAAACATAATTGCTAGTTTAAATGCAACAATCTTACTCAGTGAGGTACAATATACTTCCCTTTCCCTTCTCCTCTTCCTTTCCATGAGGAGAAAGAAGCTTCTGATTTTGAGTATGACATACCTCCATTATTTCAACACCAGAAGTCTCATTATTCTCAAACAATGGTTTGAGAATAACACATGACCTGCATCCATAGTTTAATCCTGGCTTAGTCTCAGTAACCATGGTGTAAAAATAGTTTCTCAATTTCAGGTGTCTACTTTAAACATAAATTGTCAATTTCAGCAGTCCCAGGGATCTTTGCAGCAAGAAAGACAAAGAGAAACAAGAGGAAGATATGCGCAAAACTAAATGTCACCACAACTCAATCACCGCTTGGTTCTATTTGATTACTACTGAACCCAGTTAATATAATTTATAGATAAAAAATACAATAAAATACAATTACTTTACCTGGTAAGCATGGTCAGAGTGAATGAGGTAGAGGTTGGTAGGAGCTGAACGGCTTAGAGGCGTCGTCCCTTTAGCATCTGTTTTGGCACACGATAGTTCACTTCTGTTCACATCTTGGGATGGAAAAGAAGGAAGAGATGCTAGAGAGGGTGAAACTGGAGATAAACTATTTAATCCGTCTGCTACTGAGTCAGTGTTGAGACGTATCTCTGTGTAGTAAAAATCTTCCTCTCCGTCACTGTAGTCAGATTCTCCTACACGTCTAAAAAATGACAGCCAGAAATTATTAATACTGTACCAAATTCATTACAATAAAAAGGTCCAATATATTAGTGGAGTCTGTGCAAACAAACTGAATTGCTCAATATTTTTTCACCACTACATGACCAATAATATATATTTTATTTAATATGGTTGTGTGTGTATGGCAGACAGAAAGAACAAAAGAGAAACAAAGAAATACTTGCACCTGCATTTCTGTACACAGGACATGTGGAAAGTTATATACACAGTTACATACAAAAGACTTTATCTCTTCAGAAAGGATCCACTGATCAGTTAATATACTTATTTTTTACGTGCACAGAATATACCTTCAAGAATGTTGAAATAAAGATTTAACTTTATTTTTCATATTTTATAAATTAGGCTGCTGGAAACCCAGTTTAATTCAGATATAAAGAGACTGTTTAATTCATGTATTCCTCATATTAGTATCTGACAATTCCTTCAAAACCTTCAGCATAGCATAAGTGGATGGAATTCTCTCCCTTTATTCTCACAACAATCTGGTGAGGCAAAGTAATTTGGGAAAAAGAGAAAGAATATAGTTGTGTCTAGATCATGCACTGAATGGAGATTCAAATCCATCTTTTCCCACCCACTAACCATTTTATTAAGATTTTTTTTTTTTTTTTAAGTAAATGCAGACTTGAACTCATGGGAGAAATATATCATGAGAAATGACAGCACAGTTCAGTGGGTTTAATCTTTAATTATTTCCAATGTGACTGATATGAGAGTTTTTAGATACTGAAAATCCTATGGGCTCACATAAGTCCTAGCTCTTCCTTCTATGTTTCTACAGAGAGGAAAATGGAAGGTCTGGTTCTATTTTTTTAAAACAATGATTATCCATTTTTCAAAATTGTGTCCAAAACGTATGTTTCACTGAAATAATTTTAATTTATCTCAAGGATTGAAATTGGCTTATTTTAAACAAACCATAGTTAGGATTTATCACAATTTGTTGGGTCTGAGTGAAACAAACTGCAGTGAATCAAAAATTGAAGCAAAATTGTCTAAGCTTATCATGGCCGTACAGGAGGAGGAGAGTTAAGGGGGAACACATGAGCCAAAGATCTGCAGCAGCTTGTTGCAATCACAGTAAGTGATATTTCTCCAGATGTTATTCCCAGAAATAACAGGTATATTTTCTTCAGAGAAACTATATATCTTTTTTTTAAAAGGATCCCCCAAATATTCCTAAAATTCTCCATAGATTTTTATCAAAAGTAATATTGATTCAATAGCTTCATTTATAATAATTACAAACTTACTTAATTAAGCTTAGTTCATTGCCACACACAGAAATGAACCCAAAGTGGCTGGTTTGCATTTTTGACCTTTCCCTTTTTGGAGTGGCCAAAAAGGAGAATAAATCAGAATTTATTAGGAAGAATGGTGCCTTG